CCCCAAACCTGGAATTCAATCCAGACTTGAAACAACTGATTGCACCTAGGGAAAGAGGGATGTGACGAGTGTTTAGGCAACTGTTTTTGACTGCTGGACTCAGTCTATTAGATAAGCCTGTCTACAGGCTTGTTATATTCACTTGGTTTACTCCCTCAAAACTTAGCAAATAAGAGACTAACAATGTCTAAGAGGGTTTCTTCCTAGCACACAAATGACAATCAATTATGGAGGCTATAGGGAGAAACATGACAAATCATGGTTATCACACTGTCTCCAGAGTACTCTCCAGAGTCCAGTCTATAAGATGTAGCTGTCTGCCAAAACAGTCTAGAAATATACACTGACAATTTGATTCATCCTTTTTTAAGTAGCAGGAAATGTACTACTTGATGGATAAGGAATTGCTTGGATAGCCACATTCAAAGAGTTGCAGTCAGTAACTTGATATCCAAGTGGAGACCAGTGAAAAGTGGCATTCCATGGGGATCAGTGTAGGGACTGGCACTGTTTAACACCTTTGTCAGCAGCAGGGATCATGGGCTTCAGAGATGGGCCTGTGTGAACCACATGAAGTTCAACAAGGCCAAGTGTAAGGTCCTACACAGGGGTCATGGAAATATTAAGCCCAAATATAGGCTGGGCAGAGAATGCATTGAGAGCAGCCCTGAGGAGAAAGACTTGGGGGTGCTGGTGGATGAGAGGCTGAACATGAGCCAGCAACATGCACTTGCAGCTGAGAAAGTCAGTTGTATCCTAGGCTGCATCAAAAGCAGCATGGCCAGCAAGTCAAGGGAGGTGATTTCTACCCCTCTACTCCTGTACTCCCACCAGGAGTGCTATGTCCAGCTATGGGGCCCCCAACATAAAAATGACATAAACCTGTTGGAGCAAGTCCAGAGGAGAGTCTCAAAGATGATCAGAGGACTAGAGTACCTCTTCTGTGATGACAGTCAGAAAAAATTGTGGCTGTTTGGTCAGGAGAACAGAAGGGTTCAGGGATATATAGCAGCCTTTCATAAGCTAAAGCTAAAGAGAGGCTGAAAGAGAGCTGGAGAGGGACTTTTTATGAGAGTGTATAGTGATAGGACAAGTAGGAATGGCTTTAAACAGAAAGTGTGTCCACTTAGGTTAGAAAGAAGGAGGGAGTTTTTTTACAATGAGGTGCTGAGACACTAGAACAGGTTGTCAGATGAAATTGTGGGTACCCTGGAAGTGTTCAAGACCAGGTTGGATGGGGTTTTCAGCCACCTGGTCTAGTGGAAGGTGTCCCTGCGCATGGTTGGGTGGTTGGAACTAGATAAACTTTAAGGTCTTTCCAACCAAAACCATTCTATGATTCTGTGAAATGTTGTTATCAGATGTTTGGTATTCCTTTTTTAGTGGTAATCTTGGAACCACAGTTTCATGGACTCTTTCATTCATGAAAGAACTTACCAGAACTTCAGGAACTTCTCCACAAGAAGTGCATTTATACTATAGATATGATTTTTTTGCTTATGCACTGTGAGAAGATAAACTTTAGCTTTACAGTTTCAGTATAAAACTACACTGGGAAGTGAAGGATAGAGCATGACCACTGTCTGTATTGTAAAACTCTAGTTTATTTTGAGAAAACCCTAGACTGTGTACTTCTGTCCAAGCTGTTTTTCCCGCTGTCTAGGTAAGTCAGGTATTGGTGAGGTTTAGTCCACATCAACCAAGCTCACCAGACAACTTCTTAAGCTATGAGTTTCTTAATTAAAGTGTGCTTAGTTTCAGTGAGAGACAGCTGAATCCCTAGCAGTGAGGAGGGAGAAGCATGTGGAACTGGACTCTACTATCTACTGGAAACATATAAAATGGAAGAACATAAGATCTAAAATAAATTGCCTAAAATAAATAATTCTGAATAGTAAGCCCTCTTCAATGGTGAACGCCATCTGTCTAGAAGAAAAAGTAGTTTTTAAACCTTTTCAGAGTGCGAGTATATGTTGTGAGCCATTTAGACTGCCAGAGCAGTGCTCGGGGTGTTGCAGTTTGATTGATTTGGCTTATCATTTCTCTTTCCTTGTTTCAGGGGATCAAGGGGAGCCAACAGAGACAAAGACCCTCATTGTTCACATCTCAGCCTTGGATTCATCTTACGCATCTTATTGGTTATGTTGTTAACATATGTAACTAGAGATATGGTGTTACTTGAGTCACTAGTGTGTGTTAGCAGGAAACCAGGGGCATGCTGAAACTTGAAGTTCTTGTAGTTGACCCCTGACTCTGGGGTAAGAGTAAAACATTCCTCAAAAACTCTCATATAAGTTAGAACGACCAAGTGTAGACTGGATGGCATAGCTCTGTGTGGTAGAAGACTTAGTTCTCTTTTGGTTTTACCAGAAGATGTTGCAAGATGGATAGTATTATCTCTGGTAAATAAAAGCGTATTTTTTCATAAGACTCCCATGTCGATAAGTACAGAATGCCAAATTGCTTGTTGAAGGCATTTGGGAATGTCAAGGAAAACTAGACCTTTCAAAGAATTAAGACACAAATCTCACTTTAAGCTTGGATGAAATAATATTTCTTTTCCACCTGTTTTTTTTTCCCAAATTTGTGTACTCTTATCAAGATAGAAAATGTAACTTTTTGATTGTTTTCTCATCTTCTGCAGAACGTATGTCGTGAAGTGACTAGTAATGTTAAACAAACTACCCGATATAAATAGGTAGTTTCACAATTTTTTTCCCAACTGAGTTATTTCAGGGAAATGGTTGAGTAGTTTCTGATTGTACATTTAAATAATGTACAGAGAGCAGCTTGAAAAATTCACTCTTAACCAGTAAAATTTGCTGAAGTTATAAACAAGGGATAGACTTATAATAAGATAATACAACATTTTTTTTCTTGCAACATAACAAAAATAGAACTGAAATGTAAGTTATTGTAGAGGGAGAGAAGTAGAATTTGTATCAGAATCACTGCTTCTATAAATGGTGAAAAATATGCAAAATCATATTTAGGTGTGATCTGTTATTGCATCAATATCCAACATGGAATATAAAAAATAGCTTTTATAAAACTTTTTTTATAAAAGTTTTCTGTGACTTTTTTTTCTTCCATTCAAATTGCTGTGGATACAGATCTTATAATGGGGTGGGGAGGATTGATTTTGAGGTGTACCTAAAGTCGTGTAGGTACTGATGATATGAGTGACCCTGAGATTAGCTCAGTTAGTTGGAGCATGGTGCTAAAAACACCAAGTGTGAGTCTGCACAAACATCTGGCGTTACCCCATCCCGGGACAGAATCCAACACTTCCCCTTTTTGAACTTCATATGGTTGGTAATTGCCCAGTCCTCTAATTTGTTGAGGTCTCTCTGTAGGACCTCCCTGCCTTCGAAGGAGTCAACAGCTCCTCCCAGTTTTGTGTCATCTGCAAACTTGCTTAGTGTCCCTTCAAGTTTGACATATGTTCAAAAGAGATTATAAAGTTTTCATTTGGTGAATTTTCTAAATTTTGTGTAAACATCTAGTAAGAACATTAAGGTGTCTAATCAAATGCTTAATGCCGTAATGTCAAGAACTCCCTAAACTGCAGACTACTGAAAGTTAAGAAAATTCAGGAAAGAAGTATCATGATCTTTAATACATCAGTCTTTTCATCTCTACTGTACTGTGTCTATTTGAGATAAAATGGGTTTTTTTTGGTTGGTTGGTTGGTTTTGGGGTTTTTTTCAGTAGCAGGCTATATGGTGTTTTGAATTTGTGATTGAAACACTGTTGGCAACACGCTAATGTTTTGGCTATTGCTGTGTATTTCTTGCCCATTATCAAGGTTTTCTCTTTTTCTCACTCTCTTCCCTCAACTTCTCCTGTCAGGGACTAGGTTGGGTGTGGACAAGAAGCTGGCAGGACAACTGATCCCAACAGACCAAAGGGATATTTTATGCCACAGAACACCATGGTCAGCAATAAAAGCTGAAGAAAAGAGGGATTAGGTACATTTGTGGTCACGGTTTGTGTCTTCCCAAGTAACCATTGTGCATGCTAAGGCTCTGCTTTACAGGAAGTGGCTAAACGTCTTCTAGTCCATGGGAAACAGTGAAACTGTTTTGCTTCTACATGCAGGGGCTTTTTTCCACCTATTAAATTCTCTGTTTTGATCCATGAATATTATTCTCTCCCTTCTGTTTTCTGCTCTCCCAAGGGATAGGGAAGTGACTGGCTGGCTGCGTAGGTATTTGCCTACACAACCCATTGTGCGGACAACCCACCACAAGACTTTTTATTGCATAACACAGGCCTTAAGAGGTTCAAGATAACATCAGATTTGTTTGTAGTCTGAATTTATAGCTGTTATAACTTATTTTGCAGGCTCTCATGCTTGCCATGAGACTCACTTATTAGAGTCTTTGACTTGTTGATGACTGGTTTTGCTGTTTCAGGTACTACTTATCATCTTAGTTTGTCATGACTGGCAACATTTTGATTAACAATATGTGCCCAAGTGCCTGGACTGGCATATGACCCTAGCACTGCTGCCATTCCTGTACTGCTGTACTAGACATGCACGAAGTCAGCTATGAACTGGAGCAGAAACACTCCTGAAGCGACTATGGCCCATGAGTAAGCCCATACTGGAGCAGGTACACCCTCAAAGGAACTGCAGCCCATGGAGGGGTCATGCTGGCACAAATGCAATGTGTGGATGTCATTGCAATAGTAACTCTATTACCTGGACCAAAGGGAAAAGGCGTGGAAATTGTAATGGATATACATTTAACCTGTTATAACCCATGGTTTGAATTGGATGTTGTAGGAAGTGCTGTAGCAGGAACAACCCAAGCAAACGGAGGACCAACCTCACAAGAAGCTGAACAAGTGAGCTGGTGACTCAGCTTGAGCTGTCTTTGCTTCTCAACAACACAACAAGCCATATATTTTATTCTGATCTATTATAACAGAAGGAACCCAAGTTATGGACTGAACTAACTCAATAGACTTTTATAATCTTACCACCTTTCTCCTATTTTGTCTCCATCCTGCAGGAGAGGTGAGTAAACAAGCAGCTGTCTGCAGGTTTGTCTATTGACTGGGATTAAACCACCACACCTACTTATCTGTTACAAGATACATTTAAAAAAAATTCTCCCTGGATATGGATGTCAGCTGTGCCTTTTCAAACCTTGGAGGTTTCCCTTCTAGGAACCTAGATAGAAATTAACTGTTGGATGCTATTTGAGACAGAAACTTAGCTAAGAAAGTTTCACATGATCCAGTAAAGTTTTTTTCTTTTACTGATAGGGAAATGCTTCTTCTCAGTCTCCCTTATGTTTTAATTCAGTTGTGTTACTTGGTTTTGGTATCTTCTTAGCAGAAAGACATGTTGACTTAAAACTTTAGTTAATACTTAAGATTTATAGGGTGTGAGGAATCACTCAGACTTATAAATGGATAATGAATGGATTATTGCCACAGTCTGAGGGGGGATGGGGCCGTGATGCAGCACGGACGGGTCTGGAGACAAGGTAGAGGTGCAAATGGAATGCTTTATTGAGATGTCCAGAGGTTTTATGGGTTCAGGCAAGGAAAGGGCTAGAACATGGGGTGGAGCATGAGACAGACAAACAGGGGAACAAAACAGGGTAGGGACACAGGCAAAGGGGGAGGAATGTGGGAAGAACCAAGGAAGGGAAGGGTGAATGGCAACTGTCTCCTCTGCAGCTTCTGCAGCCTATCAGAGAGGGGAGCGAGGAAGCAGGGAGCAGGCGAACTTGTGGCAAGTCCGGGCATGCCCAGGCTGTGCACTGTGTAGTGTGGATACAATGAAACCACATAATGGTAAAATCCATATAATAAAGTCCTGTCAATTGCTATATGTCTTTCTCCACGCCTGAAACGGCTCCCATCCTGAATCTTGTTCCTTCACAGATTATTTATGTAAAGACTACAGTTTTGGATTAAGATGCATTAACTTGAATTAGTCAAAGGGTAAAAACACCATCAAAGAGAAATTGCTTATGTTTGTAAATGAGCTTTATTATGATTGTGGAATGAGAATTTGAAAAGAATTGTTGAGAACACTCCAGATAGAACTGTATCATTTTATGGAACATATGTTTGAAACTAGACCTCCTTTTCTATCCTGTAGATTAAAAAGGACCACACTGAACAATATGACTAACACCTTTAAAATCAAGTTAGCTATACTGGTAAGGACCATATGTAGAGGTACGGTAAATCAATGAATCTTAAATCAGCTTATCTTTCTTTTCTGCTTGTTTTGGTTCCAAACAGATAATTCTTCAATTTACTGTACATATGGTAAGGACCTTAGCCAGTATTAGAGTGTGCTCATAACTGACACATACAGAATGTCTTTCAGACCAGAGAAGGATATGATGCAGATGATAGCAAATTTTTTTTTGCTGGGAAGAATATGGCAATGTCATTTTATCCCAGTGTCTGATTCTATTGACTTTCCTTATTTTAGTCTCCAAAAAGAGGTATACAAGGGTCTAGCTGAACAATTATATAACTACCGGCTTGCCATCAAATTTTGTTACATTTTCATGCCATTTTTTTCTCTGTTTGCATCAAGAAGAAAAGGTTATTTTGTGACAAAATCTGCCTGGCATTCAAGTTCTTTGACAGAAAAAGCTCAGGCTGATGTGGGCAATTCTTTTCTACTTTGGTATGAGAGCTGTGGATCTGAGTTGTTTTTTTCAGGTTTTTAAATTTATTTATAGTATAAATATTATAATAAAAAATAGAAATACATAATAACAGAAAGAATAGAATATATATTATATGTAATAAATATATATATTATATATATATATATATATAAAATATTCTTTTTTAAAATGAGGTTCCTATCTGATAGAGCTTTTAGTAGTTGTGTTCTACTACAGCAGGTAAAAGAATAACCTTTACATACTCTTGCCAAGATAACCCTTCTTTGTGTTTTTGGTTTTTTTTTTCTCAAATCTGTTGGTCGAAGAGAGAAGGATTTAGCCTTTTGGATCAACTATAAGCATGTCCTTTGACCTGGATTTAGAAACAGCTGATAACTAAGGCATAGAGTACCATACCTTAAGCTCACTCAAACAATGGTGTCACCATTCAGCAGTTCAGGATTGTGTTAAAAGGCAAAACCTAATAAATAAATGAACAGAAGAGGAAAGGACATGTAAAACCTGCTGGGCATGAGGTAATTTTTCTGATTCACATTTTAGCAAATAGGGCAGGGTTGCTATCAGTGACAGCAGGACACATGCTGGGCGAGTCACTAGAGCAGCAATTCCATGTTGGTGGATTATCTCCTTCAAATATGAATGAAGGGAGGAATGAAGTAGTGTTTGAAAATAGTAATGTTTTGTGTTGAAAAGTTTGTTGATTTACTTTCAATTATGTATTATATCCTTGTTGTGGTAAATAATGCTAGACTGTAGCCTCCATTGCATAGACACACATTTAGTTGAGATCAGCTCATTGCAGCTCTCTCATTACTCTAATTGGTTACTCCAAAAGAGTAACCTTTTGGAGAATGTGTAATGTGGTGATAGCTGATGACAACTACAGGAAAACAACAGAATAAATAACAAGTCAGATCTTAACGGATCAACAAATGATCTGTGAACATAATTTGGGACACATGGATAATTTGCAACATTATCCTCCTTGTCATATTCTAAGTTGTATGTACAAATAATTACATGGTCAAAACCTTCACTGCTGTCCCTCTGTAGTCTCTACGTCTTTTCATATTTAACATGACAATAGAGCATTTCTTATATATGATCCATTGATATATTTGGCTTGCACTGATACACTTGAAGGCTCCTTTTTATAGGATTTTTGTGTGCACAAAATCTGTTGATCTCTCACTAGACTGCCTTCTTTTTCCTGATGGCTTTACTGTGGCTTTCTTATGTTTGAACATAAGAGCTATTGCAGAGCTTTTGCATTTGACTTCATGTCCCTAATAGTAAGCTGTCAAGCCCTTCAACTCAAAGAAATTCTGAAGGTATTACATCCTTCCACAGCATGCTGGGGAATCTTTCAGTATAACAGGCTACTTGAAAAAAAAAAAAAAAAGAAAGAAAAGAAACTTAAATTAATTAATGATACTTACCAATTATAAAGTAGTTTTCCTCTTCAAGATACTTCAGTCATTAATTAATTTTTCAACATCTTGGTACCCTCCCCATCTGCTCCACCATTTGCCTCTTCATTACTACTATTTTCTACCATCCTCTAATTTTCCACTGGAGGTAATACAGCCTCACTGTGTTTTTCATACTTCCATTTGGTGGTTGTCTAGAAGAATCATCTGATTCTTCAGTAAATGATTTAATGCACACTCATCACTGAACATAAATCATTAACCTATAGAACATTTAATTTGCTGTATTTTATTGTACATCAGAGTCTAGCAAACAGACCATAAATTAATCTGATATAACTTCTAGACTCAGCGCTGCTGATTCATTGGGAGGTTGTCATATATAAAAATTGGTACTATATAAAGTAGATGTTGATAGCTTCAGCAGTGTAAATAAATACTTACAATTAATTCCCTCTTCAACTTTACAACTTCAGTGTGGAAATATTAGTAGAAGTATTGTGACATTAACAGTTTGCATCATAAATATGAGTTTTAATTCCCTAGAATATTAGAGAGAAATAGCTGAAATTTGTTTTAAAATTAAGTAAGTCAGGTGTCATATATCTGTTGCAGGGTTAAAAGATGGGACATAGGAAGATCATGCTTTCCCTTGAGATTTATTGTTGGTTCCAAAGGGATAGAACTGAAATCCAGATACACTCGACCTTAATCTGGATTTAGAATCACAGAATCATAGAATGCTTTGGTTTGGAAAGGAACTTAAACTTCATCTAGTTCCAATTCCCCTGCCATGGGCAGGGGTACATCCCACTAGACCAGAATGCCTAAATCTCCACCCAGCCCGGCCTTGAACAGTTCCAGGGATGGGGTATCCACAGCTTCTCTGGGCAACCTCTTCCAGTGCCTCGCTAGCCTCACAGTAAGAAATTTCTTCCATATGTCTAACCTAAATTTCGCCTCTTTCAGTTTGTACCCATGACTCCTTGTCCTATCACTACAGTTCCTGACAAAGAGTCTCCGTTCAGCTTCCTTGTTTTCCCCCTTCAGGTACTGGAAGGTTGCCATGAGGTCTGCATGCAACCTTCTCTTCTCCAGGCAGAACAGTCCCAACTTTCTCAGCCTGTCTTCATAGGGAAGGTGCTCCAATTCCCTTGGGAACCCACTAAGGATAGCAATGGGCTTTCTCTGCTTTTCTGTAGGAAATATTCGGTGTCCTTTAGGATAAGACAATGCTTAAGTTTTTGTTAGTGTTTTATATCTACATGAGAATCAATATCTTTGGTCAGTTATGAATACTGTTAAAAGTAAACAGCTGGTTTTTTTCATTGACTTCACTTACAGAAGCTGTTATTTCCAAGATTCGAAGTAGTCTGATTGCTGTTTGTCTTCATTTCAGTTAGTTTATAACAGAAATATAAAATGTGCATGGTGTGTACCTGTTATTCTCTGCTTCCTAACTTGCGTGCAGTTGCAACAGTGCTGTCGAAACCAAGAGTTTTTACATAAAGTAACAGACAAGCTATGAGTAAATGACTCTTTACTAACTCATGGCTTTAAAATGGGGAAAACTAATGGTTATACTGGATGTTTGCATAAACATCTCCGACACTGTCTTCCAGGCATGTTGGTTATACACTGCATGTAGAGAACTCGTGTTTCAATTCCTATCTGGGAAGAGTTTTGCAATTCCTATCCACCTGTATTTACTTAATCTAGATTAAGTTAGATCCACTATCTTTCATCTGCTTTGCAAGGTGATGGTCTATAAATTATTATTTACATTGATGATTGGAAGGGATAATTGACTGGTCTTTTTAGTCTTTGGGATTTTTCCCAGAAGAGCAGGAAGAGGTTTGGGGGTTTTTGTTTGTTTGTTTTTTGTTTCTTTTGTTGTTATTGTTGGGTTTTTTTGCTCCCTGTTT